GAGGAATTTTCCGACGGTGAGAACAATCAACCTGAGGAACAGAAGTTACGGAAACAGGGTTTATTTGGATTGATGATACAAGAATAGGAAATGTAAATAATGTATATGACAGATAGGAGGGTAGGAAAGTATTCTAAGTTTTGATAGGGCACATTAATGTCTATATAATGTCCATAACTATTGGCGTTATGTATGAATGGAAAAGTCAATAAAGCATTAAAAACAACAGAAGAAGTTGCCTTCAGAGGTTGTGGGAGCTTCATCATCCCTGGAGGCTTCCAAGAAGAGACTGGACTGCCCCCTGTCAGAAAGGGTGGAGGGTCTCCTGTTTGGGTGGGGGGTTGGACTAGATGACCTACAAGGTCCCTCCCAACTCTGGTTATGTTATCTGGCTTTTAAAAGGCAACAGACTTGTTTGAACGTTGGTGCTGGAGGCGGCGGCTCTTGTGCACCTCTTGGACAGTTAAGGTGACCGATGACCACGTACAGGTAGTCCTCGAATTACGACAGTTCATTTAGTGACCGTTCCAACTTACAACAACAGCACTGAAAAAATAAGGGACGGATCCTAAGTTTTTCACACTTGCGACCCTTGGAGCAGCCCCCCCACCCCACGGTCACGAGAGCCAAATGGTGGCGCTTAGCAACTGACTCGTACTTATGACCGTCACGGTGTGCCGGAGGTCACAGGATTCCCTTTTGCGACCATCTTGACAAGCAGAGTCAGAGGGGGAAGCCGGATTCACTTAATGACCGTGTGTGACACACTTAATTGCACTGATTCACTTAACAACGGTGGGTGGCCAGAAAGGTTGTAAAATGGGGCAAAGCTCACTGAACAAAATGCCTTGCTTAGCAACAGAAATGCCGGGCTCAACTGTGGTCGTTTTAAGTGGAGGACTTAAAACTGGAGTGCCTAACATCAGGCGTGTCGCTAAAAAGCAAAATGACACTGAAAGTGATTGGTTATGACCGTTTTTCCACACTTACGACCGTTGCAGCACTCCACTCCCGCCCCCCACATGGTTGCATGACCCAAATCCAGATGCTTGGCAGCTGACTCGTATTTATGGCGGTTGCAACGTCCTGGATCCCCTTTTGCGATCGTATGACCAGCCAGGTGATTGGGGAAGCCAGGCCCGCTTAACAACCGTGTCACTAGCTGAACAACTGCAGGGATTCACTTCACAACGGTGGCCAGAAAGGTCGTACAAATGGGACAAAATTGTTGTGGTTCACCGGCAGCGGGTGTGGACGGCTGAGGCCTCAGAGAGCGAGGCCTCGGATGAGGGGCCTGCGTGGGATGCAGAGATGGGGGCCAGGACCACCAGGGGGTGGAGTGCGGCCTTCGGAGATTGTGGAGGCTGGCAACAGTGAGGAAGAGGCCCCCGAGGAGCCTGTGCCCAGTGTGTGCTACTTGAAGGAAAGAGCAGCTGCAGCAGTTCGGGCGACTCGGGAGTAAGGCTGCAAGGTAATGGCCCTTATCCCTTAAGGGATAAAAGCCAGCCTGAGAGACCGGTGTTCTTTGCAGGAAGCAAGGTAGTTTTTGCACTCAAGCATTGTGGACGTTCAGACTCTCTTAGTTTGTGTTTGGAGACGCTTTGTGTTTGGAATATTTCTTGGCCACTTTATCCAGTGTTCTTGGCAGCCTTGCACCACCTTGGCCAGGCTCCTCCTTATCAGAGACAGTTAGTTCGAAACAGCCTTTTAACCGGGAAGGAACGGAATTCGTAATGAATCATTAAAAGGTTTTGCTGTTACTTCTGTCACGTGTTTGTTTCCTTGGAACCAGGTTTGGGTCAAACCCAAAATTCACCAAAGCATCTCGCTTAGCACCGTAAATTTTGGGCTGAACTGTGGCCATAAGTTGAGGACTACCTGTAAAGCGTCTCCATCTTGAGCAGGGAGTTGGACTAGAACATCTAGTCAAGCTCTTCTCCAAAGCCCCCAAAAGAGGCCGGAGAAGAAGCAACGGATGGAAACCAAGCGAGGGGAGAAGCAACCGGGAATTCAGGAGGAATTTCCAAGAGTGAGAATCCTTGTCAGGGATAATGACTGGAACCATAACAGATAATATGATAAACAGATCATGGGTGGTGCAGCTTCCCCTCCCAAGTTCTGGGTCTTCTACCAGGGGAGGTTTTCAAGTAGAGGCTGTACCACCATTTGTCCGGAATGGAGTAAGGTCTCCCATTCGAGGAGGGGGTTGGACTAGAAGACCTCCAAGGTCCCTTCCAAGTTTGTTACTCTGTTATGCTCTTATCCTTCCTTCCTTCATCTCCTCCTTTCCTGCCTTCCTTTTCCTTTTCTCCTCCCTCTCTCCCTCCTCTACTTCCTTCCTTCCATCTCTTCTTCTTTCCTCCCTCCCTCCCACCTCTATTTCATGCCTTCCTTCCATCTCTTCTCCTTCCTTCCTTCCTTCCCCCTCTATTTCATTCCTTCCATCTCTTCTCCTTCTTTCTTTCTTTCTTTCTTTCCTTCCTCCCTCCCCTATTTCATGCCTTCCATCACTCCTTCCTTCCTTCCTTCCTTCCTTCCTTCCTTCCTTCCTTCCTCCCTCCCTCCCCCCTCTCTACTTCTATCCTTCCTTCCCTTCTCCATCCCTGGAGGCCTTTAAGAAGGGACTGGACAGCCACTTGTCCGGAATGGTAAAGACCATAGCGTATAGTGCGGTCACCCTGTTTGAGCAGAGGGCTGGACTAGAAGATCTCCGAGGGCCCTCCCAGCTCTGATTCTGAGGGATTGATTCACTGACCTCCAAGGTCCAACCGTGTGGTTCTGTGAACAGGGAGAGGAGAAGAGCCCCGCTTCCCCCCCACCTGCCCCCAGCCCTTGGGTCAGGCTGACGCACCTGGGGGGGGGGGCTCCTCCAGCCCCTCTCGGCCTCGTAAGGGACCGCAGTGAGGAACCGAACGGGGCAGAGCAGGGAGGATGATGAATGCCCCTCATCGCCCAGGCCTCCTCCTCCTCCTCCTCCTCCTCCTCCTCCATCCAGCCTCCCTAATCCGATTAGGAGCCGAACCTCCAGGCAAGCTCAATCAATGGGCAGACGCCACACCAGGCCCGTCCGAGGCAGCTCGGCTGGTGGGGAGCCATCGATCAAACGCACGCGTGGGGGTCTGGGTGGGGGGGTGGGGAGGGGGCTGCAGAGGGTGCCTCGGTGCTGCCCCCCCCACCCCAAGAAGAAATGCCCTTACTGGGCACACGCGCCTGGGGGCTCCGGCGAAGGGCAGCCAGCAGGTCGGCCACCCCAGTGGGCTGTGGGAAAGGCCGTGGGAGACCGGGGGTGGGTGGGGAAGGATGCTGCCGGGAGAAAAATAGGGTGGAGACCCTGGGGGGGGAGGAGGAGGGGGGGGGGGGGGGGCTGGAGGCTCCAACGTAGGAAGGAGGGGTGCAGGAACTGGGGATGGCCAGCCTAGAGAAAAGAAGGACCAGCAGTCAGAGGTGGAAGGGACCTTGTAGGTCATCTAGTCCAACCCCCACCCACCCAAGCAGGAGACCCTCCACCATTTCTGACAGTTGCCAGCCCAATTTCTTCTTGGGATGTGGGATGAAACATCCCACAATTTCTGAAGGCAACTTCTATTCTGTCCTCCCTGTCAGAAAATTTCTCCTTATTTCCAGGTTGAATCTCTCCTTGGTCAGTTTCCATCCATTATTATTCCCTGTCTGGCCTTCGGGGGCTTTGGAGAATAGCTTGACCCCCCCTTCCTCCTCCTCTCTGGGGCAGCCCCTCAAATATTGGAGCATTGCTATCCTGTCTCCCCTGGTCCTTCTCTTCCCTAGACTAGCCAGGCCCAGTTCCTGCAACCATCCGTCGTATGTTTGAGTCTCCAGTCCCCTCATCATCCTGGTTGCTCTTCTCTGCTCTTTTTATAGAGCCTCAACGTATTTTTTATATTGTGGTGACCAAAACTGGATGCAGGACTCCAGGTGTGACCTTACTAAATCTTTATAGAGTGGTGTTAGTACCTCCCTTGATATTGATCCTCGACTTACAACAGTTCATTTAGTGTCTGTTTGAAACTGCAACACCATCCCCCCCACTCCGAATAGTGACTTCTAATCATTTTTCACGCTCACAAGCACTGCAGCGTCCCTGGGGTCAAAATTCAGACGCTTGGAAACTGGCTCGTATTTACGACGGTTGGGGGGGAGTCACGAGATCCCCTTTTGCGACCTTCGGGGAAACCGGATTCACGTAATGACCGTGTGACTCACTTAAGCAACTTGGGGTGGTTATCCGGCAGCAGGTGCGGATGGCTGAAGGACTCAGGTGAGGGGCCAGGACCGTCAGGGAGTGGAGTGCGGCCTTCGGAGATTGTGGGGGCTGGCAGCAGCGATGAGGAGGTTCCCGAGGAGTCTGTGCCCAGTGCGTGTGCATGCAGGGTTGCTTGCAGGAAAGAGCAACTGCAACAGGACTGCTCGGGAGTAAGGCTGCAAGATAATGGCCTCTCCTTCAAGAGGATAAAACCCAGCTGTGAAACGAACGTCCTTTGCAGAAGGCAAAGACGTTTTGAAACTCAGCCTCGTGGACATTCCAGTATCCTGAGTTTCTACTTGAAGATTCTTATTTTGCACATTATTTCTTGTCCGTTACCTTTTGGCAAGTCTCACTGCTCAGTTTGGCGAGGCTTGTGCTTATCACAACTAATTATTTTGCAAAAAGCATTACAAGGTTTCTGTTCCTTTTGGATGGTGTTTGATTGATTTGTCGGAAAGGGTTTGGCTCCGAACACAACGGCGGCGATTCACTTAACAAATCGGGGCAAGGAAAGGCCATTAAAAGGAGGGGCAAAACACACTTAGGAACTGTTTGAAATTTGGGGCTCGATTGTGGTCATTAAGTCAAGGACGCCCTTGCATTTCCAGAGAAGGACCTTAGGACAGGATAAGGAAGCAGAGGTCCAGGGGAGCAAAAAGCCCCCCCCCCCCACAAAACCTTCACCTGAGGGCTGGCCAGGTGGCTTTCCAAGGATCCAGGACGACAAACAGCCGAGATGCACAAGCTGCATTTATTCCAACACAATTACAATAACTTACGCCTCCCTCTATGGCCCTGGGGGGGGGGGCTGGAAAGCACCTCCATTTCCCCCCCCAACCCCACCACACACACACACACACACACACACACACACACACCCATCCACGGGGCGGGGATTAGGCACTCAACTCGGTTGGGTTGCTGGATGATGGGACGAGGAACCCCCCTCGCTACTCCCTGAGACATGATAAGCCCAGCAGGATGGGAGCCCTCATCCGGGACGGATGCTCCTCCTCTTCCCGGGACTCCCCTCCGGCTAAGCCTGGACTACAACTCCCAGGCACACCCTCCGGGGCGGGGAGAGCCGCCCTTCTTCTCGCCCCCCCCCTTCCAGGGAAAGCCGCCTCCCGCACAGACGTATCGCCATGTCTTACAACTGTTTTATTACCGACTCCTGCTCTGCCGGGCGCTGCCCCCGGGGCACGGAAGGGCCGGCGCCTAGGAAGGGTAGGAGGCTTCGTCGGGCATCAGCGGGGCCTGGATGTCCAGCTTCCGGCTTCGGCTGTCCTCCTGGATCTCCAGCCGGAGCGTGGGGCCTTTCCGCTGGCCCTCGGCGGGGAGGGAATCGCCTTCCTGGCCCCTGGCCTTCAGCAGCTGCTTATCGGAGTCGTCCACCGTGATCCTCAGGGTGCAGCCGTGGGGCAGGAGGTCCTGCTCGTAGGCCGCCGCAAGCTGGTTCACCACCCGGCGCTCGACCTGGCCGAGAGGGGAGAACCAGGGTGCCACTTCAGGGGTCTGAAGGCCTGCAGGGGCTGCCTTTTCCCCCAAGGGGCCTCGGCCAAAGCTCCGATTTTGGAGGGGAGCGAAAGGGATTTTCGGCTGCAGTTTCTATGCAGAATTTACAGGGGGTGGGTGGGTGGGTAATTTATAACTGGGATGCCGAGGGACCCAGACTGGTAGGGAATGGGCAGGCTTCCCCCTGTTTCATTGCAAATGGATTTGAAAGGCTTGGGTTTTTTTGATTTTTGGCTTCTTGACTCGCTGCGCCTGGGGAAACTAGGACACCAGGCAGACGTTGAGTCCTGGGTCTGTCTCGGCAGGAGAGATGCTGGGTGGCCTTGGGCCCATCGCCAGGGACGGTGAGTTCTAGTGCCGCCTTCAGGCACAAGAGCCGACTGGATTGGCTTTGGGCCAGTCACCCGGAGACCCGGGGAGTTCTAGTCGTGCCTTAGGCGTGAAAGCTGGTTGGGTGACTTGGGGCCAGTCCCTCCCTTGCAGCCCAACAACCTTACAGGGCTGTTGTGGGAAAAATAAGAGGAGGAAGTAATATTAAGTACAGCTGCTGTTTACGTTATTTATAACAACAACAAAACGTGGCACATAGATAGATGATAGAAATAGAAATATGATATGGACAGTATATCTATCTATCTATCTATCTATCTATCTATCTATCTATCTATCTATCTATCTATCTATCTATCTAAACACAATATGAACGCTATATGAACACAACACAGAAGCCTGATGATGGCAGATGAGATTCTGCCGAAACGTTGCTACAACTTTAAAAGCACAACTACAATGACGTGGGAAAATACCTGAACAAAGCTGAATGCCATACATGTAAGTACCCATGAAAACTTAAGAAAGTATGTATGTATGTATGTATGTTTTCTTAAGTTTTTGCGGGTACTTACATGTATGGCATTCAGCTTTGTTCGGGTATTTTCCCACGTCATTATAGTTGTGCTTTTAAAGTTGTAGCGACGTTTCGGCAGAATCTCATCTGCCACCATCAGGCTTCTGCATTGTGTTCGTCTATATATATATATGATAGATAGATGATAAAGATGATAGATACAGATTATAGATAGAAAGAGAAAGAGAAATAGATAGATGACTGATGAATAGATAGAGATGGATGGGTGGATGAATGGATCGATTGATGGATGATTGCCAGAGAGAGATAAGATAGAGATAGATAGATATAGATGGGTGGATGGATGGATGGATGAACAGATGATAGACAGATAAGAGAGACAGGCGCAGAAGCCATTGGGGGAAAGGGGACAATCCCTTCAAGGCAAGAGGAAAAGGGGGAGGGGTTGGGGGTGGGGTGGGGGTCTTGGCCCACCTCGTGTTTGATGGACCGGGCTCCGTAGTGGAGGTTGTAGCCGTCGGCCAGCACGTCCATCACCTCCCTGTCCCAGACCAGAGTGATGTTATGCCTCGCTTTGGCCTGCAGGGGGAGGAAGGAACGTCAGTCAGAGGCTCTTCCAACAGGGGGCTCGGGTTCTGCTCCCCGAAGACAGGAGAGTCCTCGACTTACGACCCCAACGTTTCTGCTATGTGAAACACCCCTTAAGTGGGTTTTGACGCCCCACCCCCATTATTATTCCACGGCTTTGCTTTCGTTAAGTGGAACCACTGCGGTTTATTAAGTTAGCAACACCGTTTGTTGTTACGTGAGTCTAACTTCACTGGTCGTCGTAAGTGGGAGCCCATGGGCCCGAGGGCCCGAATTTTGATCACCTGACCTGCGGGGAGAGGCCGCAGCGGTCGTGAGGGGTGGGGTCGCTTCAATTCTCCGTGCTGCTGTCGCTTCGAAGAGTTCACTAAGTGAACGGCTGTAAGTCGAGGACTGCCTGAAGAGGGAGCGGGGGGGAGGGGGGCAAGGACTGGCAGGACTCACCCGCTTGGCCCAGAAACTCAGCTCCTTGTTGACCAGCTGGATCAGCTCCGACTGGCAGAAGGGGAGGAAGTAGACGATCTCGTTGATCCTGCCCAGGAACTCGTCCCGCCGGAAGTGAGCCTGCGGAAGGGCGGAGCACGGAGGGGGGCGCGGGGTGGGCTGGCTGGCACAGACCCATCTGCTACAGCCCCCCCCCCTTATGGCTCTCGAGTGGAGGATGGGGTGTGTGTGTGTGTGTGTGTGTGTGTGTGTGTGTATATATATATATATATATATATATATATATATATATATATATATAATCAACAAATCAAAACAGGGAAGGGATTAACAGAGTTGGAAGGAACCCTAGAGGTTATCTAGTCCAGTGGCTGCCAACAGGTGGGCCAGGGACTGCCGGTGGTCCATGAGAAAGTTGTGCTGGTCCGCAGAGACATGTCCCCCCCAAAGCAATTAATCCAGGCTGCGTGGGAACACGAGGCTGCGCCACTCACATGGCCCGGAGGAACACAAGGTTTGCGTCACTTGCATTGCAAACACCACGAGGTAGTGAGGGGAGGGGGACCCTGCAAGGCCTCCTGCCCCAAGAGGCTGCGCCGGCAAAGACTCATTTCTGGCGGAGTTTGAGGGAGAGGAAGAAAGACTTCCGCAGCTCCTCCTGTTTTCCTTGCATAAAGCCAAAAGTCTCTCTCTCTCTCTCTCCCCCTGAGAACGGAGCCGGAGACGGTATCCCGCGATCCCAAATCAAGAACGATCAATCGGTAGGAAAAAGGAGTGGGGGATTTCCCTGCAGACTTTTTGGGGGGATTTTCCCAGGGTCTCCGGTCCGTGGGGTTTAAAAGGATGAGTTGGGGGGTCCCTGAGGTCCCAAAGGTGGGCAACCCCTGGACTAGTCAAGCCCCCTGCTGGAGGAGGAAACCTTACGCCATTTCGGACAATGGGTTGTCCCGTCTCTTTTTGAAAGCCTCCAGCGACAGAGCGGCCACTATTTTCTTGTGGCAAGTTGTTCCCCTGGTTAATTGTTCTGTCACGACACCCACCAAGTCTCTGCCTCGCTAGGGATGAAAGAGACCGGAGCCCCCCCAGTGAAACTGAGCCTCTTGTGAAGAAGTGATTGGACAACCCCTTGGCCCAGAATACTATAGGTAGTCCTCGACTTACAACAGATGTTCAGCCACCGATACGGTCATAAGTCGAGGACTACCTGGACAGACAGGGGTGGACAATGACGTCCCCTTTATGCCCTGTTGGGATTTTCATTCCCAGAACCGCCGAGCCAGCCAGCACGGCCGTCCTTGGGGCGCGGCTGGCTCAGAAACTCTGGGAGTTGAAATCCAACAAAGGCGTCAAAGGGGCTACTGTGGCTCACCCCTGCTGGAGCGGAGGGTTGGACTGGATGACCTCCAGGGTCCTTTCCAAACTTCTTTATTCTACGCCTTGCGGTGGGTGGGGAAAGCTTTCCTGGCCAAAAAAAAAGCAAGCCAAAAGCCAAAGCGAAGGAGAGACCGGCCTGGGGTTGGGGGCTAGTGAGAAAAGGGGGGGCCCCACCCCGGTCTGTCCTGGGCGGAGGCCTCTGGGGTCCAGCTGGCCGCGGAAGCAGCGGGCAAAAGGAAACAACCCCCCCCTCCCCCTCCGCTGCCGTTTCTGCCCCCCCCGGAGCAGAAGGGCCGCCCAGAGCCCCCCCTGTACCTTCAGGATGGGGCGGATCACGTTCTCCTTGAACTGCTTGGAGATGGTGATCTTGTCCGTCACCTGGACGTCGCCTGGAAGACAAGAGCGGAGCCGACGGACGGGGCCCCGAAACACAGCACTTAGGAAGGAGGGGGGCCTTGGAGGGGGGGTGGAGGAAGGGATGGCCGGCACCCACCTCTTCCCACCCATTTTTCCCTCCCTCCTTCCCTCTCTCCATCCATCTGTGCAGGTCACCCTCCTTTCTTTCTCCCATCTCTCCATCCATCTCTCCCTCCCTTCTTCTTTCCATCCATCCACCCATCTCCCTCCTTTCTTTCTTCCATCTCTCCATCCAT